GAAACAAAGATCTTCCTCCTCTGATATTTAAGGCGAAGCTAAACCTTTTCTTCTCCTTCTAGTAAGAGAATGAGAAACCAGTATTAACAGTTTGTAAAGTATAAAATCTCCACTTCCCAAAGCCTTGGGGCAGGCAATTGGAGGTTTCCGATTATTTGATGAAACTATGTGGACAAATGGACAACCCATTAAAGGCTTAACTCAAAGGTAAAGGTCACTCTTTCATAGGGTGTAGATCATAGAAACTCACCGATTTGAAGCCTCTTGGTAAGTACTTAGCAAAGGAAGTCCACAGCCTCCTGCTGTATATACAGAAGTTTACATAGAGTTGAAGGGTTAGATAGGCGAAACCAACAAATTCCCCTCTGTGGGTAACTCTTCTGGAGGAGAGACCTAGGTTTTTTGGAATCATGGGTATTGCTGGTAGGTAAAGGGGTGGTGTGAGAAGTGCTCTCAAACTACAGGCTATTTTTTATTTTTAGAGAGAGATAGAGAGAGAGAGAGAGAGAGAGAGAGAGAGAGAGAGAGAGAGAGAGAGAGAGAAAGAGAGACATTGATCCATTGCTCCACTCATCCAAATATTCATTGGCGGATTCTTTTTTCTTCCTTTTTTTTTTTTTTCTTTTTCTTTTTTTTTTCTTTTTCCCCCAAAGATCTTTCTTTGATTCTTAGAGAGGGAAAGGGAGAGAGAGAGAAACATCTATTTAAGAGCAAAACATCAATTGACTGTCTCCTGCATAGCCACTACCAGAGATCGAGCCCACAACCATGTGCCTGCTCAGGAACTGAACCACATGTGCCTGCTCAAGAACTGAACCACATGTGCCTGCTCAGGAACTGAACCACATGTGCCTGCTCAGGAACTGAACCACATGTGCCTGCTCAGGAACTGAACCACAGCAAACTTTCGGAGCATGAGATGACACCCAACTGACTGAGTCACATCAGCCAGGGCCAGGCTGCATTGCTAATGAACTGTGAAACATGGTAGAAATTCTTAATCTGACTATTGTGTCATTTCCAACTTATTCTCTAATGGGTTATTTTCTAATTCTACATTCCTTTTGCACTCTAATTATTGCCATTTATCATCATTTCCATTATGTCATTTTTTCAGTTCACACTCTGGAAAAAGAGAAGGTCAAATAAATAAAAAAATAACATTTTTTTTTTTTTTAAAGGAAAGGAAAAGGTAGAGCTGGCCTCAGAGACTGTGATGTGTAGGGACACAACACCATAAGATCTAATCATTATGTGTTGGCTTTATTTCTTCTTAGTAAAGATGAACCCAGTCAGCAGGAAATGAGCCTACCAGCATTCCCAGGCTCTCACCCTCCAAGCTTTACCACCAGAGAGGCGAAGACCTTTTTTCCTTAGTTCTAATTTTTCATTCTCTGGACGAGACTCTCATTGGCTTGGATCAGGTCTTGTGTTCATCCCTGGGTCAAATAAGATAGCCAGCCTGATTTGGATCATATTATGTGTGGAAAGGGATGGAGGAAAGACGTTGTTCCCCAGACGAAGAGATCGCTATTCCCAGAGGAAAGGAGAACAGCTTGGCTAACAAACAGTCAAGTTTATGGAGCACTTACTATATGCCAGACAGCACATGTAGAAGCAGGAGCCAGAGCCAGAATTATGCTAAGAATATAAGCTCTTTGGGAATGTTCAGAAATCTTGTAGAAAGCTTTGGATTTCCACCGAGTGTGAAATGGGGCTTCAAGCCAATCTTATCTAGATTGAAAAAGGTTGAGAGATCTTAGCTGATACCGGCTGCATTATGTTTGAACTAAAAGAAAAAATAAAGTAATTTATCTTTGATAGCAAGTAACTCTGAAGACAGACTTTTTAATTGAATTTATTGAGGTGGTATTGGTTAATAAGATCATGTAAATTTCAATTGTACAATTCTATATAATCTGTTTATTGTGTGTTCACCACCCCAAGTCTCCTTCTGAACCATTTCCCCCCCTTTACCCTCTTCTACCTCACCCCCCTCATCTTTCCCTCTGGTAATCACCACATTGTTGTCTGTGTCTTTGCGTGTGTGTTTTTTTGTTGTTGTTTCTTAATTCTTTCACCTTTTTCATCCAGTCCCACAACCCCCTCCCTTTTGCTGTCAGTCTGGTTTCTATATCTATTTTTTTTTTGTTAGTTTATTTTGTTTATTATATCCTACATATGAATGAAATCACATGGTACTTGTTTTTTGCTTTCCCCATAAGTTTTGAAATATAGTGTTAAAATGTAGTGTGTTAAAATGTAGTGTTCTTGATAGTTAAGTAAATTGATCAGGAACTAAAAGCTGATATGACATAGTGTAGAGTGTAGATTTATTGTCAGAAGATTTGATAACTGATGATCCAGGTTTACCAGTACAAGTCCTTGGGATCAGCACTAGGGGAGGGAGGAAGTGGGGCTGGGAAGAGGGAGAGGTTGGGCCTGGATTCAGTCACAACAAGGGCTCAACCTCCCCTATGGGGGCTGGGGCCCAGTGGCCCTTCAGAGTTGTCCTAAGTTGGGACAAGGGGCGGGCCTGGACTTTATACCTCCACATCAGCCTGTGTTTGGACGAAGGCTCACCTCAGGGGGGAGTGAGATCTTTACTGAGTCAGCTCTTTCCAGCCCAGAGCAATCCATGGGGAGAGCCAGCAGCAGACTCAGCGGCGGCATTTCTAACATCTGGGGTTTTTCTTTAGTCCTAAGTGGGAATCTGGGCAGCCCAGCCCAGCCCAACATCCTCTAATTTCACCCTTCTGGCTCATTTGGTCTCTAAGTCTGTTCCTAACTTTAAAATTGTCCATTACACTGTCAGGTGGAGTCTCAGGCTGCTGGAGACGCAGTGCCCAGGACCACCCTCCTGTCCTCAGTCAGGGCCTGTGATCTGGTCACCACCAACCTGAATCTCAGAGGTGGGCAAGATGGCCCCGATGCCAAGAGCTTCGTGCTGAACCTGGGCAACAACACATGCCTGAACTTCAGCCCTCCCTTCAGTGTACATGGGGACGCCAATACCAGTGTGTGTAACAGCCAGGATGGCAGGACCTGGGGACTGAGTGAGTGGAGGGAGACTGCTTTTCCCTTCCAGCCTGGGAGTGTCACGGAGGGAGCTGGACATTGCCTCTGACAGGCAGACCTGGCCATCACGCTGCCAGATGGATACACTTCCAAGTTCCCCAACCTGGAAGCTGTCAAGTACCCGGCAGCGGAGGGAGGCTTCAAGACAGTTAAGACAATCATCCCATGGCCCCCAATAAAGGCAGCTGCCTCTGGTTCCCCTGAAAAAAAAAAACTCCTGTTTTAGTCTTAGGTACTTACTGATTTTTGTTTTCCAAAGTCTCATGACATGCCTTTGAAAATAACCTGGTGATACATGAAAAAGAATAAGGAAGATCTTTATGAATGGATTTAAAGTAACTTTTAGAGTATATTGTTAAGTGAAAGAATACAAAAATGTGTAGAGCAGGCTATTTTTTGCCCAGAAAATGTGTGTGTGTGTGTGTGTGTGTGTGTGGTGTGTAGCAAAAAGAAACACAGTGAGGATAAGCCAGAAATTAATAAAACCTATAAGGAAGGAGAAGGGGTTGGGATGTTGGGAGTGGATATGAGAAAATGTGAATGTCTTATATGCCTGGAAAGTTAAATTAAATTAAATTAAATTCAAAGGGATGGAAAGAAGCAAGCTCCAAAATTAAAATACAGTAATAAAACAAATAAGTCTAGTTATACTGTATGAATAAAGTAACCATATAGAGAAAAGAATTGATTTAAGTAAATTTTGATACCAGGACTCTGGCTGATCATCCCTTAGTGGGTTATATTCCAAGAGTAAAAAGAATTTCAATGGCATATAAAGCTTTTATTTTTATTTTTATTTTTTTTATTGGTTACTAGAGGCCCAATGCATGAAGATTTGTGCAAGAATGTGCCTTCTTTCCCCTGGTTGCCAGAACCACCTTTGCTCTGGGTGTAGCCATCTTTCTGCCTTCCCACACTGCCCAGAGGCCCAGAGAGGCTGGGGTGAGGTGGAAAACCTGCGCCCTGCCCTCCCCACCCCTGGCCACTTGGCACCTTCATATGCAAATTAACCCATCATCTTTGTTGGGTTTATTTGCATACTCACTTCTGATTGGCTGTTGGGCATTGTGAAGGTACAGTCTATTAGATGTTACTCTTTTATTAGTGTAGATTAGCAATGATAGCATTATAATTTTGAAATGGTATATAAGTATTGTCAGACAAAGCAAATAAGTGGATATAGTAATATTATTAGAAATTAAGACTTCACTGTAAGGGAAAAAGAAATAAAAATAGAAAAGAAAAGAAGTTTAAATAAACATTTTCTACTAAATTTGAATATATGGAGTCTAAAGTATATATATTTCCTACCTTTGCCCACTTGAAATAATTTAAACATAATGACACTTACGGGAATGAGTACACTTATTGCTCAGATCTTGATGTGAATATTATTTTTCATTAAAAAAAATAATAAGGGCCTGGCTGGCATGGCTCAACCAGCAGGTCACAATTTGATTCCCAGTCAGGGCACATGGTTCGGGTTCCATCCCCTTTAGGAGGCAGCCAGTCAGTGATTCTCTCATCATTGATGCTTCTCTCTCCTTCTCCCTTCCTCTCTTAAATCGATAATAAAAAAATATATATATATTTTTTAAAAAAGCAAACAAGACTCCTTGGGGGAATGGCTGAATCCAGGCCTAGAGAAGAAAAATATAAAGCAAATCAGAAATATTTTATCTCCTCACCTCACAATAAGGAAAAACTTTAAAACCAATGCTTTCTTACAAAAAGGACCCAGGGTCCATCTTAAAGGGAATCCTTCTAGCCAAATTTGGGACCATTTTGGGGATCAAAAAGAATAAAGAAAGTGATTATGTTACCGGAAAGTGGACCTGGCCCTGAGCACGTCTGTCTGAGGCCGGCTTGTAGTGTGTAGATTATTGACTTCATGTAGGAAAATTTCACAGCACAAGTCCAGGTGAAGTTTAGAGGACGTTTATTAAAGCTGCAGACGGTGAAACAAGGAAGAGCTGGAGAAATGGGCCTAGGCTGGTCTGCTTTGACTCACTAAGAAGTCAGTGAAGCTTGGCTGATGTGGCTCAGTGGCTGAGCATTAACCCATGTATCAAGATATCAAGAAGTCCAGGTTCGATTCCAGGTCAGGGCACATGCCGGAATTTCTGGCTGGATCCCCAGCAAGGGGTGTGCAGGAGGCAGCTGACCAATGCTGATGCATCAATGTTTCTATCTCTCAACCTCTCCCTTCCTCTCTCTCTAAAATCAATAAAAACATATTTTTGAAAAAAGTCAGTGAAAAGGGGGCCTCGGGAACAGGTTCAGGGGATTAGCTTGGGATGAACTGTCACTGCCCATTGCTGCCCTGGTTACATGTCTCCTGAAGTTCCTTAGAGTTTAGGAGATGCATGCCTGTGGGGGAAGTTGAGAGCAGGGGAGAGGAGGCACCTGTATGCTCCTGTGAGGGAGCATTTCCCCGGAACCTTCATTTTAAGGTTCTAAAGGCTTGGAGTTAGGGGAGGTCTTAGGGGAGGATCTCAATAGAATGTCCATCAGCTTTATGATGAACCAACTTGGGCTATCTTCTAAGTCTTCCATTTGTAAAATTAAAACCCAAAGAGGTTAAGTGGTTTGCCTAAGGCCACAGCGTTAGCAAGCAAGAGAGCTCTGCCTCTTATTCCTACTAGTCTTTGCTACCTCTCCTGAAAACTAACCTCACTTTTTAAAAAATATATATTTTATTGATTTTTTACAGAGAGGAAGAGAGAGGGATAGAGAGTTAGAAACATCCATGAGAGAGAATCATCAGTCAGCTGTCTCTTGCACATCCTATATTAGGGATGTGCTCACAACTAAGTATATGCCCTTGACTGGAATCAAACCTGGGACCTTTTGGTCCGCAGGCCGACATTCTATCCACCTAGCCAAACCGGTTTTGGCATAACCTCACTTTTTTGACATGTGAAAAATTTAACCTCTCTAGTAATCCTTTGGCTTTTCCATATCAAAATGACTGGGGGCAGGCAGGGCACACGTGAGGCCTTGACATTGGTCCCTGTCTCTCTCCAGGCCTGTGGCTTCTCCTGCTCCTTAGACCTTTGACCTTGGACTACAGGATGCCTCGGCACTGACAACAGCCCAAACACTGAGTTCCCTTCTCAACCACCTTGATGTTAGTGTCTCCTCATTTTATTACTAACTTGGTCTTACTTTCACTGACTTGGCCACAGCTGATTTAAAAAACACAAAACACCTTCTTTGCATAATTGAAGCAAATCCTAACATAACCAAGTCAACATAATCATATCTTGACCATGCCCACTGGAAAGCTCAAGTTTGAAACAAGATTGCTACATGCAGGGCAGTAATACCCCCAATCTCCAAAGGGATGGTTTGAAACACACCAACCTGTACACTAACCCATCAAGCTGAGTTTGCTCAAGAACATTTTGCAAGTAATGAAACAATAAAAAATGAACATGTTGTCCAACCAGCCCTTCTTTCCACAAAGGAAGTAGTGGAGAGGCCCTATGGAAGTCAAGCATAAACCGCAGGGCTTCAGTTTGCTATGTAGAGAAGTAAAAACTACTCAAAGAAACACACACACACACACACACACACACACACACACACCTCAAAGATCTTTAAGAAGTTGGGATTGAACTATTCTACTACTTTCCTCCCATTCCCCTGACCTTGCCTTTTCATTTTAACATTTTATTTTATTTTTCCTATTCTGACTTGCTTGTAATTTATTTTTCTTCTTGGACTGGAACACAGTTGGTTTTTATTCTATAACTAGGGACCCAGTTCACGAATTCATGCACCTTTAAAGGAACTGTGGGCTATGAGGCTGCGATAGGCACAGGAGCAGGTCTCAGCCCATCCTTTGCGTCCTCACCTGGCCCCTCCTACCTCGGCCCCAAGTCTCCTGTCTGCCAGCAGCCCCACTCCCACTGCCAGCACTCCCAGAGAGACTGGGGCCAGCACCAGCAGTGGGTGGGAGCAGGGCTGGTGCCATCAGCAGGCGTGAATGGCAACTGCTGCCCCGATCGCTCCTCAGGGGCAAGGGGAGTTGGAGAAGCCCTCAGGGGCGATCAGGGCTGACAGCCACTGCTCGCACTCGCTGATGGTGCCAAGTGATCGAGAGACTGGCATCACACACTGGCAGTGGGTGCAAGTGGTGGCTTCAGCACCAGCACTGGGTGTGAGTGGGACCAGCACTGGCAGCAGATGCAAGTTCTGGGGGGAACCACAGTGCGAGGGAGCAAAGAATTTTCAGTAACTACCAGAGGCTCACCCCAGTGACAGTGACTAGCACCCCACTTTGGTCTGGTGCCCCTGCTCACATTCTCCACCATCCCGCCACAGCCAAGGCCCGCCATGTACCACACATGCCCCTTTGTGTTCAGTGCATGTCATAGGGAATGGTTGTTCAGTTGTTCTGGTTGTTCTGCCATTCAGTCTATTTGCATATTAGCCTTTTATTATATAGGATGTGTATTAGAAGTTTGGTCTAAAAATTTCTAGACTCTCAGTCCCTCTTCCCCAATCTAGCTGTTACTTACAATGAACTTCTTTTCAATAAATATCTAAAGAAGGTAGCTGTTAAGTAAAAATGAATGCTATATATAAAGTCACAAAATGTTATTTTCTGCCTTGTAAAGAAAAAAACACATCAGTGTGGGATATATAATATATATTCAAGCTGGGAGACAGTGGCATCAGACATGGAGTGGGCAGAAAACCCTAAAGTATTCGAGGAAACTTGGAGGATATTCTAGATATTGCAAAATAATCCCCAGAAGTTCAATGTGTTTGCTGAGTAAGGCCCTTGGCAAAACAATTCTGTGGGCTTATATTATTGGCACATTCCTTCCAAACGAGAGAGATACTTCTCCTGAATTTTTGGGCTGAGTTTCTCAGCTCTATATTGCTGTCTGCCTGCATATGGAGCCTAAAATTAGCTGTGAAAGCAGGCATAACAAGCTGCTGGCCTGGGTTTTATTTGGTCTGCGCACTTATTTTTTAAAAACAGAAATTTACACATAAAAACCCAGATGTCCACTTCTCTTGACATTTTGGAAAACCTGGCAACATTGGACTTGTTTTTCCCTTTAGTGAAGGTTGATTGCCTCCCAGGGCCATGAACTCTGAGGGCCAGGAGCTCCTTGCCCTCAGCTTTATTTAAATGTCTGGCTCCTGGAAGCATCTGACACAGGTCTGAGTTTGAGACCTGTGTTATCCAGGTTCAGTTCATTTAGATAAAACCATTTCTTCTTGACAAAGGTAGGTGTTTACATCTAGTAAGGCATTTCACATTACATCATTTTATTTAATCCTCCCAGCAACCCTTTGAAATAACTATAATTATTTATAGCCACTTTAAAAACATGATTCTGACTCTTTGGGAGGCTGTGTAACTTGCCCATGGTCACACAGTTAGCTAGGAGCAGAGTCAAGATTCAAACCCAATGCCTACGCTGTCAGATAAGGAAGGAGAAGTGAATGTCGAGGTCAGTTATCTACAACTGATTTCCTTGAAGAACAAAAAAATGACATGGATTGTCAAAAGGACCATGGGTCAAAGACCCAAGGATATGGATTAAGAATACAGACTTCTTTTTATTTTATTTTCTGAGGATCTTACCACTTATTAGTTGGTAACCTTGGGACATTCCCTTTCCTCTCTTGGCCTCAGTTTCACAGCCTGTAAAAGGAGGGGAGTATAAGGGGGACAGTGAATGATGGGACCTCTAAAAGCCCCTGATCTTCCATCTTACTGTGTTCCCTACCTACCAACTAAAGAATTTATCCCCTTTCTTTGGCTCCCTCTGCTGGACATGGAGCAAGAGAACATTTTGTTGCTCAAAAGATTTCAGGTTTAATTCAATTATTTATCAAAGGTGTGCCCTATACAAGGTCAAAGTGGGCTCCTGGTTACTTGTTGAGGAGACTTAGACTAGAAATGATTATGAGTCACTTTCTGATCACCACTGAGCAAAGCAAACAAAGTGAAGGTCTAAAGTAACTCGAGATTTTATTGTATACATGGAAGTCATAGATCCAGAAAACACTATAATAATAATCATCATGAAAATAATGAGCTGAGACGGGGGTGGAGGTGGGACTGGAGGGGGTTGATGGGGGGAAAAGGGGGACATATGTGATACTTTCAATAATAAAGATTGTTTTAAAAACTTATTGATTTGAGAGAGAGAAAAGAAAGAAAAAAATGAGTGCTAACATTAAGTACAACAGGCCAGGCAATATCTAAAGGACTTTATCTATTTTCATTTCCATTTTATCCTGTGCCATTGTAGGTCCAAATTTTCTTATTCTTGCTGCACTAGGATGGGGGTTAGAATTCAATCCCCTCCTTTTCCAGATGAAGCAATTGAGGCCCAGGGACATTAAATGACTTACCCACACGAAGCCACAGAGCAGCTGGCTGTTGACAGAGCTAAGACCAAACACTAGTCCAGAAATCTCTTTATTCCTTTATCCAGCTCCTCCAATTTAAAACCTGGCTGAGGAGATAGGTTTCACACCAAGAAATAATTAATACCAGAAGGAGACCTGTAATTAGAAGCTGAGATTTCAAGAGGGAAAGGGGCCTGAGAGACCATCTAGTAGGATTTTTTGCTCAGACAGAAACCTCTCTGCATCCCCCCAGACAACTGGGCACTCAGTGGCTGTGCTAAAACCTACTTCTAGTACACATTTTGTTCCCTGGAGTTAAACACAGTGTGGCCAGATTATTATGATCTCTGAACACATAGTAATCTGGCCACTCAGTGTACTTATGTATAAGGGAAAGCTTGCAAATCTTGATATGTTAAGGGACCAGGATATAATGGCCCAAACCTCTGGCTAGTAACTCTGCTTCTTTCTAACTACCCACAATGCAGTTCTTATACATGGAAAAACCTTATTTTAAAATCCCAACTCTGTGGTCAGTCTATATACACTGAGTGGCCAGATTATTATGCGTTCAGAGATCATAATAATCTGGCAACTCAGTGTATACTAATATACTCTTAAGTATATTAATAATCCCTCCCCTCTACCCAGTCCTTTAAGAATTTGAAAACAACTCATGTGAATCTATAAAACATAATCAGGACTGTGTTAAAATTCCCAGGTTTATGTAAGTCTTTCACATTATACAATAATTTTATAATATAACTAGAGGCCCAGCTCATGAAATCATGCGCAGGTAGGGTCCCTAGGCCTAGCCTGCGATCAGGGCCATCTTCTGCCTGCTTGCCAGTCCCCAGCCCCACCTTGCCACCATCCACCCAGTTCCCCATTCACCATGTTGTGATCAGAGCCTGCGGACTGGGGGTTGGGGGGTGGGGGGGATGAACCAAGAGGTCGGCCATGCCGCCTACTCATCAGTCCCCAATCCCACCCTGCCACCACCCACCTGGTTCCCTGTGGTTTCCTGTTCACCATGCTATGATTGGAGCCTGTGAGTCAGGGGAGGGACCGAAAGGTGGTCAATGCACCTCATAGCGACTGGTTGAGCAGTCATTGTGGTTGTTACACCGTTATGGTTGCTGGGCTTTTATTATATAGAATTTATTATAAACCTGGTTGTCTTTTTCTGATAGGCTCCAAGGATGGCCTCCTAAATGACAGCTTCTGCTATGCAATGTCCTTGTGTAGTTAGTTTGTCCCACACTGAATTTTGGCTGTCCTTTGTCCCACTTTGGCTCCTAAGCTTTAAATAAATGTTATGGCTGTGCCCTTGGAAGCTAACCACAATGTGAGTTTAGCGACCCTGCTGGAGAGGAAACCCTAGAGGGTGAGATGTCACTTGGAGAATTGAGAGGTCAGCTCTGAGAGTGAGAGCCATCATGGATGCCCTGCCCAGGACTGCTTCCAAACCAAGCCAACAGTTCACCCCCCTGAGCCCAGCCAGCACACAGAATCGTGAGAGATAAGAATATGGTTGTTTAAGCCACTACATCTGAGAGGTTTGTTATATAGCTATAGATAACTCAAAACATATTCCCAGAACAAAATTCATCTGTCTCATCTGGAAGCAGTGGTGCCTCCTTTATCCCCACACTACTCCCACTGTCCCGGGCTTGCTTACCTTCAGGCATCCTGCCACAGATGGGATGTGCAGCAAACTCTAAGTCCCTGGCATTCATCACAGAGATCACAGAGTGGCTGTTTGGCTAGTTCTCTCCAAGTGGTATTACAGACCTAAATAAAGGATTTTTATATTTTTTTCCTCATAATTTCATCTTCTCTGCTGTGATATCATTCCAGCTCGATGAGATTTTTAGAAAAGATTTGAGTTCTGCCACCTAAAATATAACAATTATCTCTCATGTTCTCTGCAACTTGGCAAACATGCCCTACACATTTATCCAAATCATTGATAGAATTGTTGAATAGGACCAGGCAAATTCAGTCTGTTTGCAGGCACTAACCCTCTCCTGAGTGGATTCAGATACATTATTAATTGAGCAACATTTTTAGGAAATGGTCATTTTAGTTATACAATCTATTCAAATCTGTCATCCAATAAAATCATTATCCCTTGTGTCCCCTGCAACTTGGCATATTTTATTCAGGTTATTGACAAAATTGTTGAATGGGGCTAGGCAAGTTCAGAGTCCTAAGGAAGGGCGATAAATATCTGCTAGGCAGGTTTGCTCTTTTTTTAAAAATATATTTTATTGATTTTTTACAGAGAGGAAGGGAGAGGGATAGAAAGTTAGAAACATTGATGAGAGAGAAACATCGATTAGCCGCCTCCTGCACACCCCCTACTGGGGATGTGCCCACAACCCAGGTACATGCCCTTGACTGGAATTGAACCCGGGACCCTTGAGTCCACAGGCCGACGCTCTATCCACTGAGCCAAACCGGTCTTGGCAGGTTTGCTCTTTTGATTG